TTACATTTCCCACTTGAAGCAATATGCAATTTTATTCACCTACAAATAATACTCGGTTTTTATAGCTGGTCATTGATATATTACTTGTGCAAGAAAAACATACAAAAAGATCAGCAATGAAAAAGCAATGAGTCCAAACAACAGTTGCTTTGTAGCATAGCTCATTTTATTGTTTAAACAGTTTTGCATAGGAAATATATCCACTTCCAGTAATTGACTGCAGTAAAAACAGCTGCTAGCAGTATAGGCTGGATATAACAGTAACAATCACAAAAAAGTCAAGCGTTATTTACACTCATTTGTAATCTTGTGGCATTTTTAGCCCCTGCACCAAATTCAACCAACTCGAAGGCAAGGCAATGCCTACTGTTTATAGCTGTGAAAATGAAAAAAAAAAGTCAAAATCAACAGGAAATAAAACAAGGCCTTCACTATACAGCTTCTTTAACTGTGAGTAAAAACACAAAAACTTGATAAAGTGATTCTATAATGTACATTCAGAACATACAGTAATATTTGCATACAACTGCTGTTTCCACAATCACTACTAAAAACTGTTACGACTTAATAACATTTGTTGGTGTTAGTGTTGTTGTTGTCATGTTATAAACCCACTTAACACAATACCACTGAATTTGTAACGGGCATAAAAGTGCCACAAGACCCCCTCCCCCCTTAAAAAAAGCAAAAGAAAAAATAAACAACTTTGCTGTGGAGCTGGCAAATTTTGTTTGACCTGACATTTTTTGTCATCTATTGTAGTACTAAGTGTAGCGAAACACACTGCCCAACTATTACTTGATCTCTGTGAAATAGAGACTGGGTTATCCCATTTGACTAAATTATCCAAAACTGAAGAAAGCACAAAAGCACAAAACACAAAACACAGAACCAGGACAAAAAAAAAAACAGAAACGTTTGAGGGATAAAAAACATGGGAAGAGGCATCCCATAGAATCTATTTTGATTGAAGATTTTTTTTGTATTCCCTAAAGAAAATTCCTTGTTTTTATATTTACAAGGGAAAGTCCACTGAGACTTTGAGCTGAAACAGGCACTGCTTGAAATATTTTTTCCTTTTTTTTTTTTTTTTTTTTTTTTTTTTTGGTAAACGTCTCATATTATGCTGGTTTTTATGTTCCTATTTATGTCAATGGTCACTCATGCTGTTGTAAATGCCCTAGAAATGGAAATATGAGAGTAGATGTCCTGCCGTTTCCCTGCACTGACACACAGAAGAGCTGAAAATAGACATTGCATTTCCACTGGTCCTCCTTGCATAAGTTATAAACATGTGGCTTCTCTAGGGCCATGGACCATGGCTTTCACAACTTGACCAGGCCATCATCTTACTGCTTTCAATATCTATATTTTCAAAAAGATCAGCCCTTTGAAAAAAGAAACTACTCTATACAGCTACTTCTACCCAGAAATAAGGTTTAATCTGATCGTTGTATAAGCCTGGTGACATTGTATGCAGTGGTGAGGGGAAGTGCTCCGAGCTCCCATTACAACATTCGGTCCGACTAGATACGAACATTATCTAATTGTAGCTCCGAGGCTAATCAGAGCATCATCGCTAGCTAGACGTAATCCAAACAACAAACAAATGTTCCAATGAAAGGGGTAGTGGGAACTGCAGAAAGTGCAAATGCTCAGCTGTTTTCCTCTGTGATGGCAACATGAAAAAGACATCTGTGGGTGCACACAAAGGCTTCTGGGAGTACCGAGCCTGCCCTGAAAACTATGCAGCATTCATCCCTGCCCATGGCGGACACATGTAAACACTGCAGAATGGAGGTGCCTACGTGCAGCAGAAAAATCTCAGACTTTCAGATGGCAAATTCTGTACATGGTGTAGTGGGTCAGCCTCTATTGACGGGGGGGGAAATAATGCATGCTTTATTTTTCACAAGACAGCAGAACAATCTGTGATGTCGTGTAGCGACATTACCCTGGTAGTTGTTGTTGGGAGACTCAAATCTGGTGCCTTGCTTCTAAAGTGACTAGGAGTTCCCAAACGGTTCAAAAGAACAAATAATGACCCTATTTAGCACAAATTTTAACATTATTTCTTGTCTCGTTTTCAATATCACATAATCACATCACACACACTCTATGGCCACACTAACAAACCAACACTTCAAACATTTATGAAATGTCTCAAGGATCCAAGTTAATCAACACGAAATACAACAAAAGACCTTCATCATTTTGTTTAAAACATTTACAGTCCCATACGGGAATTCACTCCACTTTATAAGTACAGGAAAATAAAAATAAAGAATTACATATTCAACCTCTTTCTTATGTATCGGACAGCTGTTGAGTCGTAACACAAATCTGAACTCAAGACAGGTTTGAATTTTTTGTTTGTTTTTTTGTTTCACTAAAAAATATGGACATCACTAAAATTCACGAATACACGTCAAAAGTTTTTCTTTTTACAAACGGGGAGAAGAAATAAATTTACAGTGTACACACTTTTGTCAACAAGGCAGGCATTTCAATAGAAGACCCTCATGTACTCTCCTCTCGTAGTGTCAGAGTCATCTTGAAACACACACTCTGACGTATTCATCTACACACACACACACACACACACACACACACGCAGTTCACATAGCTGCCAGAGCAGATTTTAACCCATAATGACTACTACCAAAAAACTATTGCTATTACGATGGCCATCGAGATGACCCCTACCTACGTCCTCCTTCACGGTTTCGAACACAAGAATGACTCTATGACCCTGACACTCCCACCACTTCAGGAGGAAATGCACAATGCACTTCAGTGGCATCGCAAACGGTCAGAAGGCTGCAAAGCACTTTTTTTTTTTGCAAATCAAAAACAACAAAAAGACGGAACAGTGCACATTGAACGGGGTGACTCTAGCTTAATTATATATACTGTATATATAAACATATTGGATGGAGGAGGAGAGATTCAGCTTGACTTGAGGTCTCAGAAAAAGACTGAATAGTGATTAGTGTAAGAGCTACAATTCTTAACCATGGTGATGTGAGGGGGATTTTAATTGTTATTATTAATTGCTGGTAATGCCCTGTGAAGCAAAACGCCTGAGTTTTTGTTGTTCTGTATTTAATTGAAAGACACTATGGGTGGATGATTGCCTATATGCTGTAGGTGCAAACCCGTTTTTTCCCCCTTGATCCTCAAGACCATAAGAGCATTAAATTATTCCCTTTCACCGAAGTCTATAACAACTCGAACATAACTATAAAAACTTGAGATAACTATAAAAACCGATTCTCCCCATGGGGGTTTTTGTTTTACAGACTACAACCTCAATAAGGCTGTAAATTTGAGCACTTCAAAAGGGAAGAATAAGAAACACTGATATTTACTGATTGTGACAGATTTAACACGCAGCAACTTGCGTGACCGTGATTGTAGCGCATTTTATAACAAGTCACTTGTTTGTAAAAATTTAAGGCATCTACTTGGGAATTGCATATAGCTATGTTTTTTACTGGACAGGGGGAACGGGGTGGTGAATATATTTGATAAAAGGATGCCAGCATTTAATACTTTGCCTTAGTGTGCGTAATTCGCCTGTGATTGTCACTCCCAAGTCAAGCTGTCTCCTCTATGAACGTCATCTTCTAACAAAGGTCAAACTAGCACCCCAGGTGGGAAGTTTAGAAGGAGATTTTTAGTCACAGTAGACAAATCAGTGACTTTGCAGCCGTATTAGACCAAATAGTGCCTTCTTTGCAGACATGCTTCAACGTGTGGAAAAAAAGTCCTCCCTTTATAGAGAATACGAAACAAACGTTTCTCGCATGCACTTCTCTGCCTTTAAGTACACTCAAGGGAAATAAGACCTTGTCGCACACTGCATAGAAAGCAGTTCCCACTTTGGTCAAATACGAAAAAAAGAAAAGAAAAAAAAAGAGAAGGAAAATAACAACAACAACAATGTCAACAACAGCAACAGCAACAACAACAACATCAACAAAATAAATGTTTACACTATTTGTATTTCTGTACTAGCTTCTAATAATCCACATAGCTAAAAGCACTACCTACATAGGCAAAACTTGGTATTGCATAATTCTTATAAGTCTGGACCCGCCCTCCCCAATAATGACTGGAAGATGGAGAAAAAACAAACAAATAAACAAATGATTAAAACAGAATCAAAAAAATGACAACCACCAAAAATACGGAAAGAAAATGCTGGTTGATTATAAACTTTAGAACGGCAACTATACACAGCCTTGATACGCACTGTAAATGTGAGATAAGGTAGTAAATGAAGCTAAAAATCAACAATGTCACAATTTCATCCAGAGTACAAAATATTTCTTATCATAAAAATGTTACTTTTTCCCAAAAACGATAATAAATGCAGCAAAAACAAGTGTAGTGATGTTTTCTCTAAAGTCGAAGGCAAGGCACGTAATGTGGACTATATATTTTCGTGCAAATTAAGATTATTGGAAAGATTGATTATATAAATATGTCTGATTGGAGAGGCAATGGCATTGTGAATGCCAGGAGCAATCGACGATTTCTGGGACTGCGTCTGTTGGGAACTACCAAAGTGGGTTTGAAATAAGCACCTTGAGACCTCGCCTCAACCTGCAGGTTAGTGTTGAAATGAGTACAGCTTTTCACACATACACAATTTGTTTACATTAAATTACTCTGCGTTCCTCTTGTTTCTCATGATATCAAAGTGTAAACAGTAGCTTTACAAGCTAACAGCCGACTAAACATGCATACTAGATCGGTGAGTAATATGTCAAAATAAGCCATTTAACACACGCTGTGTGTCTGAGTCTTTTTTCACCTAAGTTTAACTTTAAGTTTTCATTTTAATAAATAAAAAATAAAAACTACCCGCATGTTTGGGTACGGCTCAAAATAAGTGCTGTCTTGTTCGTGTTCAGTTCTGTTCACGTAAACGTTCACTGTTAATCCCACTCTTCTCTTCCACCCTTAGTTTTCCCTAGTTTTCCAAATCAAGGATGTGATTTTTATTTCATTTTTCTTCTTTATGTTTTAAAGTTCACCTAAAAACATTTACTCCCCATTCCTTTAGAGTCTTAGGGCAGACAGACTATGATAGCTTCCCTTCAGTAAAATCATTTAAATTGCACTTGCCTCTTATGAGATATTGTCTTATTTTTCTCAAAATCCTTTTCAAAGGAAATATATAAAAAAAAAAAAAAATGAAAATGAAAAAAGGGGTTGTATTTCTTACCTAGTAATATAGGTGTTTTCTTTCATTGAAGAAAGAAGAAGAAAAAAAAAAAGGTTTTCAGAGTTCTCAACTCTGGAGAGTAAATTCCAACCTTTACCTTTAAAGGAAATTAGTACAGGACTGACAAGATTACGGATTTAAAAGGTTTTCCACCGTAGGTACATTACATGTTGAGGGTAATATGAAAATAGAAACATTCAGTTCATTGAAAATTGTTCCTATGTTTATGTTACGAATACGATAAACCTCTGTTTGATGAAAGTTTGTTCGAATTGCAGCCCGCTTTACAAACCATCCAGCCAGCCAGCCCTTGTGTGGCCAGCCCCCTCTAAATCGTTTCGTAAACCAAGACTAGCAATCGTGACATAAGAACAAGAGAAACACTAACAAGAGAGACTAGCATGTCATGCATATACAGTAAGGCATCTAAAGTTTGTATGGTAAAGATCACAGTATCTCAGTTCAGGGGCCTCCTTACACAATGACTGACTGGTGTGGAGAGGCTCATGTCAGAAGAGAACACTTTGACCCGACTCACTCTACTGCTCTAAGCCAATGTCCTTGAGAGGGTGGGACAAAGGTCCATGTCGATTGTATAAGTGCTGTTAGCTGGTTTGTCCGAGGACCTGTCTCTCCGGGGTCCAGTTCAATTGCTTGATTCTGCCTGGAGGAGGGGCTCACCAATGATGTTTATGCTGTAATTCTGGACATTTGTTGGCAGAATCGGAGTCCCGTTCGACACTTGGAATGGAATTAAGCTCGCCCAGGTACCAGGACTGCAGAAACACAGGGGAAAGATAGATTGTGGGAGATATTATAATCACGTTACATACGCATAAATAAATTATTGATAACACTTGATATTAAGGTATACCTAATGCATTAGATATAGCGAAAGAGTCACAATACTTTTATAGCATTTATTATTCTTGGTTCATGTTAAATTCTACATGTATTAATACAATTCTAAACATTTATCAAGTTGTATAAATGGTTCCAAAAGTCTTGTGCACAATATCAAGAGTACTACATCTAAAGAAGTGCATACATATATATATATATAGACACTTTCATTCATATATTACGTTTTAAAATATTGTATTGATACATTTTAGTTTTAATTAAAGTTAGAACATCTTCAAATTCTTTAAATCTAAATCAGTTAATGAAAGAGACATATCAGGTCTAGACTTTCTCCCACCCTCTTTTGAAAACTACCCCTTTGCTTCCCATTAAATACACACACACACAGAGAGACACACACACAATAATGGGTTCGGCATAGTGTCAGGGAACAGGATATCCCAGAGAAACAAAGCACCCTTAGTGCACATGCACGGGGGAAGTTTCCCCAAGAGCACGCATCCATCTCAGCCCCCTGCAGCTGACACCCACTTTTGGATCAATGGGGTTAAGTCAGCGGGACCGTCTACAGACCTTTCCTATCTGCATTCAGCACATGTTAACGGCACTACAACACGAGACTGTTAATTGCGAGCTGTGGTGCGAATCTCAGATGCAAAAGCACCAGGGTGCACAAACAGCATGTTGTTCCCTTGGGGGAGGACAGGGGGGCTGAATGGTGCGTACATGTGTCGAATAATTAGGCAGGCCAGAAACCAGAGCCCTGGTATGCCCCCTCCTCTTCTCCCGCCTCCGTCTGAAATACCTGTCTCACCCAATCGCCGAACACAATCTTTCTGCTCACAGATTACAGGCCGTACTCCTGCTCTGTCAACAGTGCCCGGCGCACACAGCCACCTCTTTGTTTTTCCCCCCTCTCGTTTCTTTTTTTGGCCCCTAAAAAGAAAGGGGACATGCTCGAGGAGGGGTGGAGGGTGGTGGGCTGATTGAAGGAGAAGGAAAGAGACTGTTGTGTGCAAAGACATTTCCATGGGTTCACTGCTTTGGATGCAGGTGCAAAGCTTTAGTGGGCTTTTCTTCTGGAGTTTGTTGTTTGTTTTCCGAGGGGGGGACGAGGGCTAAAGCCAGTGGCTGGTGAAGGACAGGGACCCAGCGGATGTGGAACAGTGACTTTATTCTTCCTGAGGTAGCCCGGGGTGATACGGCTGCCTGTCGCCCTGAATGCAGCTAATGATTCAGTCTGAGTTGTATACAAATCACCCGTAGCCAAAGCCTGAAATCTTGTTTGAAAAAAAAAAAAGTCGTATTTTATGATTCCAGTGCGCACTGGGTCACACTTTTAAGGAGAAAGAGAGTCACAAAGTTGTGTGAATAGAAACTAAATCAAATGTGCACTAAACTCTCTTTAAAAAGGGTTTAATATATCACATGAAGAACTAACTGGGCTCTGTCTCTCCTCCCTCCTGCTGCCCCTTTTCATCTCCCTCTCTCTGCCGTTCTAGCCAGCTAGAAATCATCTAACAGGAAATGAGGGATTAAGTGTTTCAGAGATGTGGACTGGAGACTTTGGGGCTCACATCAGACTCAAGTCACTGTTTGGAGGATTTATGACTTGATAAATATTAAAGTACTTGAGACTTGATTTTGACTTTGTTGCAATTACCTGTTAGTTGAGCTGATGACAAGAGACCTGTCATTCCTATGAAAATCCAATGACATTACAATTGTGCACTGAATTCATTTTATTTAATTTTTTTTCGGTTCTACCAGACTGAAAAATCAAGCAGTAGATATTAAGTAGTGATATCGTCTACAAATATAGACTGGAGTAATGGCTGCTGAAAATTCAGCTTTGCCATCACAGGTATAATTTGCATTTTAAAATATATTCAAACAGTAAAACTGTTATTTTAAATTGTAACAATTGTCACGGTATTTCTGGATTTAATGTATTTTTGATCAAATAAATGCAGCCATGGTAAGACCTCATTTAAAAAAATCAAAAAAAGATTTCATTTGTTAACATTAGATAACTGCTTTATTTAACAAGAACTAACAATGAACAATACTTCTACATCATTTAATAATCTTTGTTAAAAATAATTTCAACATGTAATAATACTTTTTTCTAATTAACCCTGCTAAAAAGACTAAAATACTTTCATTGCCATGCTTTTCACCTACAATTTTTTTTGATCAACCAATATGGTCTTTCTTTAAAAGATCAAGAGCACGGAAATCTTGCTGGTTACATTAGTTAAGAAGTTTGTTAAGAATCTAGCTAAGATGCTATGTTGGAGACCAGGATCCAAAACAACATAATGTATGCTGGTCTCTTAAACAGGGAAATTGAGCACAAAGGAACTGCGATGTAGTTCTTCTCTTGTTTTCTGCTTCTTTCCCCGAACGCGTACATTGGTCAGCTCCAATAAAGGATTACTAATGGGACAGCAAAAACAGACTACCACCCATCAAGCTCGTAAATTGTCTCATGTACTGCTGCCCTAAACTTTGCCTTTGCAGAGCATCAATAAACAGTGTCTGATTGATTGCCATGGTGTGGGGTACTACCCCTTGTTTCCCAAGTTCAAGGTTCAGTCTGGTGTTTCCTACGGCCTGGTTTCCACAGTTCCCAGACAAGTGCAGATGTGACGGCTCCCTTCACAGAGGAGATTGGTGTTATGTGGTATAAAAGGGAAATGAACACACAACTCTGCTCCCTTATCAGATTCTTGCTTCTTCATGAGCCACTTACAGGTCTTTCATTCTAAACGTCCACCCTCTTGCAAGAGCAAGCATGGCCCTGTTTTGTTTTGGAATCAGACCATCTAATTAAACCATCTAATGCCATCTTAATTGATTGCTGACCCATTTCCTACAGGATGGCAACAAACAAGCCTGGCTTCAATTCAATTTGGGTTGAGCAGTGGACTGGCATGCATCACACTGCGGCACTGCAGCTTTGCAAGTGCATGCAAGCAACAAATCACATTTCCATGTCAGTGACCTGAAGTCAACTCTTCAGCTGCATCAGCCTTCATCTGCAGCACATTGCATTGCTTTCAAATCACGTTCTGTCAGGCTGCAAGCTTATTTTTTGCAGTTGACAGAATCATGGTAATTAGTAAACTTTTAATGAATATTTTAAATGTAACACCTGGGCTTGGTTTTTAACTGCTCAATAATGTTCAAGCCAGTGCCCCTATTTTATGTCGATTATAAAATCTCTGTAAGTAATTGTTGGAGAAACAGTAAAGGGTGAGCCACTGCTAGAGAACCTATTTCCCCTCATACTCCGTGTGGTCTATTACAAGGCCAGAAAAGGGACTGAAATGAAAGCAGAGGCCTGTAGCACTGTTTCCTACAGAAGGAAGTAAGAATGTGTTCAGTGCGACTCCACTTTTCCACACATTTACTGCAGTGAGGAAGTGCTGAGCAAGGCCTTTCCCACTGCAGGGAGCTGGAAAGACTAAATAAGTGGATGAGAGAGGATATAGCTCAAGGTCATTTAGCTCACACTTAGCCCACCTTACACAGGGATTCGGTCAAACCTGCCAGGAGTGACTGCTCTAAGAATACATAGAAGCACAGCTTTCCCTTAAAATGTCATATGACGTTTACGTACATATAAACAATTTGTACATAACATATAATGTATAATTGAACTATAATGACAAAGCAAAAAAAAACATAAGTGACTTTGCTTGACATTTGAAATTTAGATTAGACGCATTATGTTTTTTAATAATCTTTGAGATGTTTCTAAACATTGACTGGAGTAAATATGTGGCAAATTTAATTGGACATGATTTAGAAAGACACACCTGTAATGTAAGTTCTAAGAGCTGAAAATGCATATCAGAGCAAAAGCCAAGCCATGAGGTCAAATTAGCTGCCTGCAGAGCTCAGAAACGAATCTGAGGAAGGCTACAAAAATAAAAGTCTGTTGCATTGAAGGGTCCCAAGAGCACAGTGGCCTCCATAATTCTTAAATGGAAGATGTTTGGAACAGCCAGGACTCTTCTTAGAACTGGCCTACTGGCCAAACTGAGCCATCGGGGAGAAGTGTTTTGGTGAGATAGGTGACCAAGAACCTTAAGGTCACTCTGCCAGTCTCCACACATTATCTCTGGAGCTCAACCAGAGCGTGCAGATGGACAAACAGCACTGCAACACTGAGCTTTATGGCAGAGAGGCCAGAAGCCTCTCCTGCACTGCATGACATATGAAGGTCTGCTTAAAATGAGCAAAAAAAGCTCCTAAAGGACTCTCAGACTGTGAGAAACAAGAGTATCTGTCCTAATGAACTGAATGGTCTGTAAAAAACCAGGCACCACTCATCCCCTGTGCAATACCATCCCAATAGCATGGTGGTGGTAGCATCATCCTGTGGGGGTGTTTCCATCGACATGGACTTGGGAATTGGTCAGGGTAGACAGAAAACTGAAAGTAACAAAATACAGTGATGTGCTTAAGGAAAACCTGGTCAAGAGCACTCAGGACATCAGACTGGGTCAAAAGTTAACTTAGAGTGGCTTAGGGTGGACTCTGTTAATGTCCTTGAGTTTCCCAACAAGAGTCGGACTTGAACCCAATCAAACATCTCTGGAGAGACCTGAAAATGGCTGTCCACTGACAGTACCCAGCCAACCTGACAAAGCTTGAGAGAATCTGCGGAGAAGAATGGCAGAAAATCCACAAATCCAAGAGTGCAAAGCTTGTCACTTCATACCTAAAAAAGCCTTGAGGCTATAACTGCTGCTAAAGATGTTTCAGCTAAGGGTCTGAATATTTATGTGATGTGATGTTTATTTTATTTTGTATAAAGTTGCAAAATTATCATAATTCTGCTTTTCGTTTTTCATCATGGGGTATGGAATGTAGATTTATGTGAACAAAAAAATATTTTAAACTATTTTGCATAAGGCTGCAGTTATGTGTAACAAAATGTGTAAAAATGAAAGGTTCTGCATTTTTTAAAATCCATTATAATTGTTAATGTTTCATAAATTGTGTTCGTTTTGTAACTGTGGAAAAAATGCATTTCTGCACTTGTTCGAGAGAGAGAGAGAGAGAGAGAGAGAGAGAGAGAGAGAGAGAGAGAGAGAGAGAGAGAGAGAGAGAGAGAGAGAGAGAGAACATGTTAGCTTTGCTTGATGCATAGTAGCATTACCAAAAAGCATCTGGAGAGAAGATACAAGAATTGTAAATCCTGATTTCACTGTCAGATATTTATGAAAATATTTTTTCAGAGAACAGTGCAAAGCTTTAATGCAGAAGGGAGGGTGAGGGGCTTAAACAGAGCAAACAGTCTTGACTGCCTCAGCTCTGAAACCCCAAGCTTAGCGATGACCTTTGTAAATATGCAGCTCTCAGTGAGCCTCAGACAGATTCTGCTGCACTAATGCTGGAGTTCTTCTCTTTCCCAGCAGTAATCATCTTCCTAACTTTCATTCGTTCAGGGAGATAAGGATGTTAACCATTAATTGCTCTGATTTTCTTTACGGAAGAATCATCAGAGGTCATTTTGTGCTGAGACTCCTATAGTCTCATTCCAGAGGTCTAACTGACCATGAATATCAAGGGAGGCTGACCAAGTTTGACTTGTCATGTATATTGAAACAAATTCTTAGAACAACATTCATGGGGAAATCATAAACACTGTTGTCTCCAAGATGGACAGAAGCTCTTATGACTATTTTGATCTGGTAACGATAGATCAGGATGATTGTCTAAAATCATCCAACATCCGTTAGTTAATCTTTTTTTCTCAAATATGTTTAGCAGCATTGATTTTAAGTGAATGGATCAAGAGATTCAACTTCTTGGAGATGGTTCTAGAGTGCTGTGCTAACATTAAAAATAATTGCTGGATGCCAGTATATCAAAACCTCTAAGAAGTTGCATCTCTAATTTCATCCAAATGTAGCACCGACAACCAACAAATCCACCACTTTCAACGTTGAAGGGATAGTCCACCCAAAAATGAAAATTAGCCCATGATTTACTCACCCTCAAGTCATCCTTTGCATTAGTATGACATTCTTCTTTCAGACGAATACAATCAAGAGTTATATTAAAAAAGCTTCCAAGCTTTATAATGGAAGTGAGTGGCCGTTTCTGTTTTGAAGTCCATAAAAGTGCATCCATCCATCCTAAAAGTGCTCCACACGGCTCCAGGGGGTTAATAAAGGCCTTCTGAAGTGAAGCGATGAGTTTGTGTAAGAAAAATATTCATATTTAACACGTTACAATGTAAAATTCTCGCTTCCGGCCAAATGGACATACACAGTCTAGTTACGCCTAATGCGCAACTTTTGACATCGGAAGTTGCGCAGTGGTCATGGCGTAGCGTAAATATCAGCAGTACGTCGCATTACTTGCGTAAGTTACACTTAGACTTAAGTCGAATCCGTATGTTCTTTTGGCCGGAAGCTAGTTATTTTACTTTATCAAGTTTTAAATATATTTAAATTTGAAAAATATTTTTCTTACACAAACGCATCGCTTCGCTTCAATAAGGCCTTTATTAACCCCCCGGAGCTGTGTGGAGCACTTTTATGATGGATATATGCACTGCCATTATTAAGCTTGGAAGAGCCGGGACAATTTTTAATATAACTCCGATTGTATTCGTCATAAAGAGGAATGTCATGTCATGTATGAGGGTTAGTAAATCATAGGCACATTTTCATTTTTGTGTGAACTATTCCTTTAAATTCTCTCAAGCTAATGCACTGTAATGTGTGAAGATTGTATGAATTTGGCCGCAGATTGCTCATCCAGATGTGCACAGAAACATCTTGCGACAGCCTGAAAAAGGTTTGTGAAGTTCCACTTATTACACTTTGAGAAACCAAAGTTTATTGAACATCAAAGGAGATGGACCTAAAACATTTGGAAATATAGTTAGAAGTCAAAATGCAAATTAAAACATAAAATGTTCTATCATGTTGTTTGGTTATCTTTATCTTTCATGATATATTTAGCCTTACATGAATGAGTGACGCATTCATGGCCTTAAACACGAATACATGAACACAATTCATCACAAATACACTTTTGCGATGAGTGCAAAAACACAGAAAAGGGGGGGCTTGATCTGGACTGGGTTGGAGGGGGTGTTGGACTATTGCAGATATAGGTTGTACATAGTAATATTTAATGGAGAGGTGGGTTAAAAATAAAGGAAACGTTTACCTTTGCCAAGAAATCCCCAAAGCCTCCTCTGAGCCATATGACCTGATGTTTTGATTCACGGGCCAGTCACAAATCCTCAGCTGTCAATCAAACACCTCTCAGTCAGACAACTGGGCTAGCACAACGGCACTAACACACATTTAGCATGCAACAAGACCTGGAGCAAGACCTAAGCTTATCTCAACACATATTCTTACATTTATCTGATGTTAATCTTACATTACTAGAATAAGAAAACACCATCACTAATGGTCATATTAGATCTTAAATCTTCTGTTCTAGGCCTAAAATTATGCCTAATTTAAATTACAATTCCATTGAAAGAAAGTTGCCATCAAAAATGTACACAAACAAAAGGCAATTGTCACATGTGGCATGCAATACCATTAGGGTTCTAATAACCGTCCTGAAAGCAAAAGAAGAGGTTAGTATTCAAAAATGGGAGCTGGGTTACCATGGAGGTTATTCATCTATCCCAGAATGCACTCGAATGGGAGGAAGCACATGCATTCCAAATGGTGCATGCAGTTACGGTCACTTCACTGCTGTTAGATATTGTAAAAGCAGCCTGTTTTCACTGAAGCATAACATGAAACATGCTATGTGAGAGACTAATCTTGTTCTTGGTCACAATTTACAAAGCACCAGTGTTTGAAAATGTCAGTGTAGATGAGAGGGAAAAATAAACAACTGGTCACATTTACACACAAACATGCAACACATTGTATGCATGAAAGTGTGAGAAGCCATCAACAAACAACGACATTAGAGTAAATCATGACACTTTTGCTAATGAACGTCACTGCCCTGTCAGACACACAAGTGCTCTATGAGCCTTCATCAGGTATATTCGCTCTCTGAATATTCAATGGTACTCTGTCAATAGTTCCTGCTATATCTGGAAAGGACCTGTAGTCTCCCAAATCAAATCCATTTCCATCGCAATAAATCTAGGAGGGTGAATAATTGATTTTCTATATTTACTTCAAAGATGCACCCCAGAGACTTTTGGGTGGCTGAAACACACATTTCCCAGAGTGAAAGCCACATAAATTAGGTGAGAAGTGCTAACACGTAACAGGAACTTCACCAGTAGCATGGAGGTCCTGTCACGGGTGCTGTGGATATATATTAAATTATATGTACTACATATTCAGAAGGGAAAAAATGATAACTACGTGTTGTGTAAATACATTTTGAACTAATTAAACTTTAATTCATATTATACACTGCTGTTCAAAAGTTTGGGGTCAGTGAGATATTTTTAAGGTTTATGAAAAAGTCTTTAAGCATTCATTTGATCAAAAATACAGTAAAAAAATAGTGACATTTTCAGCAGCCGGTCTTCAGTGTCACATGATCCTTCAGAAAACATTCTAATTGACTGATTTGGTGTTGAAGTAAGATTTCTTATTATTGTCAATGTTGAAAATAGTTTAATAGTTTTTGTGGAAAACATGGAACATATTTTTGTGGAGAATCTTTTTTTAGGATTCTCTGAAGAATAGAAAGATCAAAGCATTTATTTTATTTTTTTGTAACAATGTAGAAGTCTGTCACTTTTGATAATGCATCTTTGCTGAATTTTTTTTTTTTTTTTTATAAATAATCGGACAAAATAAAAAAGTGCCATTAAGCTGAACATGCTCTGAAGAGTGACTAATAGAGAAATATGTGAGGTATTTTCACATTGCTATGAGCGGATTTCCACCTCCGTCAGTACTGCCAAAACTACTTTAACAAACTCCAGCAACGAGTGTGACACTGTGTGTGTATGTGTGAGAGAGAGAGAGAGAGAGAGAGAGAGAGAGAGAGAGAGAGAGAGAGAGAGAGAGAGAGAGAGGAGAGATAGAGAGAGAGAGAGAGAGAGAGTGTGTGTGTGTGTGTGTGTGAGTGAGGAGAGAAAGAGAGAGAGTGTGTGTGTATGTGTGTGTGAGAGAGAGAGAGAGAGAGAGAGGAGAGAGAGAGAGAGAGAGAGAGAGAGAGAGAGAGAGAGAGAGAGAGAGAGGAGAGAGAGAGAGAGAGAGAGAGAGAGAGAGAGAGAGAGAGAGTGAGAGAGAGTGTGTGTGTGTGTGTGTGTGTGTGAGTGAGAGAGAAAGAGAGAGAGTGTGTGTGTATGTGTGTGTGAGAGAGAGAGAGAGAGAGAGAGAGGAGAGAGAGAGAGAGAGAGAGAGAGAGAGAGAGAGAGAGAGAGAGAGAGAGAGAGAGGTGAGAGATGAGAGAGAGAGAGAGAGAGAGAGAGAGAGAGAGAGAGAAAGAGAGTGTGTGTGTGTGTGTGTGTGTGTGTGTGTTCTCGAGTGACCTGAAGCCAGAAAACAATGGCACTGGGGCAAAGTCTGAGGTCAGCTATCAGACTGTTTTGGTAGTGCACATTCATTCATCCTGTTTTGGTCGACCCCACACATTGAAAAAACACACACTCTGACAATATGCTGATGAGGAGTTGCACTGCATGTATTTTTAGTGTTTAAGATCTCTGGAATTAAGAGAGGGGATTTCAGGTCTTCAGATTTGGTTAATTAAACAGACCAAAAACACAAACCACACAATACAATAGAAAGTATCAAAAAAATAAATAGTACTGTACTTGTTAAAAAAAGGTTTCTTAAAATGTCGGCACTGAGGGTCTCTTGCTCCAAAAATAAAAAAAGGAAGAAGAAAAAAACAATTGAATAAATAAAATATAAAAATAAATAGATTAAAAAAAAGAATTCTCCCAAATATACCTTGAATTTTAATCAAAGCACAAGTGCTATTTTAGTGGAGTACTGCTATTAACTGAACTAAACTTATCTACAATGAAACAATTAAAGTGCCACAATGAGGTATAAAATGCCACAGTATGTTGGCTTCAAAACATAATAGCGAGACAAGCTCTAGGCTTGAGGTCGACAGTTATCTGATCACGGGTGCCATCTGTCACTGGCACCAGCGGATCACAGAGTTACGCTACAGCAGCGCTAGCACCTTCACAGCTGTGAGTGGTGGTTGCTTTAACATGTTTGCATTAGATAAAGCCAAATAAGATTGTGATCACTGGTCGAGAGAGAGAACGGAGGAGAACAGAAATGCTGAAAGAGAAAGGGAAGAACCCCTGGGGAAAGCGGCTAATGAAATCTTCTCATCACTGGTGTTTTCACAAACAAATTACACAGGGGTATCAGTCTAGAGCAGGTGCTGTTGGATTGTGTGCACGAATGCTCATCTGTCATTCTCCCCTGTGTGTTTTGAGGGTTTTGAGTAAGTTGTGAATGAACAGGGCCATTGTGATACTTTAAGGCAGGTGGGGAAAATCTCTGGCCCTCAAGATCCACTTGGATGGATAGATCTCGAGGCCAGAATTGCCCACCCCTGCTATAAGGAAATCCGTCAATAACTGGTCATCTATTGTCTGTCTGATGCATTATATATAGAAATAAGCATATCTAGCTCTACAAATGTAATACCAACAAAACCGTTAGACAAAACATTAAACTGCTACATTTATACTTTTAACATAGTATATTCATGGTTGCTAGGTTGGGAGAAAATGCATTTCAGAAAATTTAACCATTTAAAAGGAAAAGGGTCTGATTTTTTTACACTACCTCTTATGCTTGCCAAGGCTGCATTTATTTGGTCAAAATAGTCAAAACATTACTATTGTAATATATTTAAAAATGTAATTTGATGGCATAAGTCTATACTGCAACATTGCTGAATAAATATATTAATTCCTGTAAAAATATTTTTTACTGACCCCAATGGTTTGTACACAAAACTTTTGACAAAAAAAGTTTTACAGTAATAATAGTATTTAAAGATTAACTTTAAGTGAGCATCAAGAACACGTCAAAGGTAATCTAAATGTAAAGACACTTAAATGAGCATGAACAATAAAATCTCTAAAATCAGCCAATAATGGATTGTGAATACCCAACCCTTATGTTGATCGGTCAGTTGGTCACAGTTATCGTCAAAGCAGATATTCTCAAAATGGCCAAATAATAGTTTATAACTAAGTCAGAGTTATTATTGTGTTCATTTAATTTGTAGATGCATATATCAGCATTATTCTGGCCTATCGACAGGCCTGCTTTTTAGATAACACTGTCAGCCTTTGAAACACCAATGCAGATGACCAGTAAAGTTTTCTTTTACTGTTCCAATAAACACACGTCCACGGCTCTATGCGACACTGTCCGTACTCCAGATGAATAGTCTCTATGGCTTATCA